GGCCCCACGGGGGTTCCAGGCTTGGGGGACACCATGGGGTGGCCCCACGGGGGTTCCAGGCTTGGGGGACACCATGGGGTGGCCATGGGGGTGGGTGCGTGGGTGGGGATGCTGTGAGTGTTTGTCCATGGAGGTCGGATGTTTGGGGGGCGTTTTGGGGTTGGCCTTGGGTGGGGGGTCAATGGGGGGTGCTTGGTTGGGGGTGCCCCATCTGACCCCTTGCACAGGGGGCACGGAGGAGCCGGTGACAGTGCGGGATGTCGGTGACGGAGTCTACGAGTGCGAGTACCTGCCCCGCGTGCCCGGCACCTACCAGGTGTCCATCACCTGGGGGGGCTACGCCATCCCCCGCAGGTCAGTGCGGGTTCCCTGCGGGGACAAGTGAGGGAGGTGCTTTTGGGGCGGTTGATGGTGTACAGGCCCCACCCCTCACCGCCCCTCCACGCCACCCCTTCCCCCCAGCCCATTTGAGATGCAGATGTCCCCCTGGGGCTGGGGGGTTTTGGAGAATGTGAGGGCTATGTGTTGGGGTATGAGCCCTCCCTCATGCCCCCCAGCCTATTTGAGGTGCAGGTGTTCCCCCAGGGGTGGGAAATGGTTGGGGGGCTGCAGAGTGCGGGTGTTGTATAGCCCCCTTTGCCCCTGTTCCCCCCAGCCTGTTAGGGGTGTGAGGGGGTGGGGGGTGTGCAGGTGTGTTACAGCCCCCCTTACACACACCTGTCCCCCCCAGCCCCTTTGAGGTGCAGGTGTCCCCCCAGCCGGGGGCGCAGAAGGTCCGGGCTTGGGGGCCGGGGCTCGAGGGCGGGGTCGTGGGGCGCCCTGCAGACTTCGTGGTTGAAGCCATCGGCACCGAAGTGGGGACCCTTGGTGAGCTGGGGGGACTTGGAGGTGGGGGGCACTGTGGTAGAGAGCCTGGGTGAGCCCTGGGGATGGGGGGGACATGGGGACAAGGTCAGGGACACCATGGTGGGGACGTGGGGACAGGGCTGGGGGTAGTGTGCCAGGCACATGGGAACAGGGTGGGGAAGGAGGTAGTGGGGACAAGGGCGTGAGTGGATGATACCCTGTTGGGGACATGGGGACAGAATGGGGAGCACCATGGGGGGAATGTGGCACTACGAGGGTTGTCACTGTGCTGGGGACAAGGACCTAGAGTGGGTGAAATCCCCCTGGGGACATGGGGACAGGCTGGAGGATGGGTGCCATGGTGGGGTCTCCCCACACAGAGGTGGGACGCAGGCACGCAGAGGTGGGGACATGGGGCGGGTTGGGGTGGCCTCAGTGGGGTCATGAAGACATGGGTGGTGCGAGTCTGGGGACCCCAACAGAGAGGGGACAATGATCCTCTGTGGGGACAAAAAGACAGGTCAGGTGTCACCCGCTGGGAGCAGGGGCACAGCAGGGGGATGAGCTGTGGGGACTGACATGGGCACAGGGTAACGGTGGCTGCCGTGCCCCCAGGGTTCTCCATCGAGGGCCCATCCCAAGCGCGCATCGAGTGTGACGACAAGGGCGATGGCTCGTGTGACGTGCGCTACTGGCCCACCGAGCCCGGGCTCTATGCTGTGCACGTGGTTTGTGACGATGAGGACATCCGCGACAGCCCCTTCATGGCTGACATCCGCCCTGCTCCCCCTGACTCCTGGCCTGACAAGGTGCTGCGTTCTATGGCAATCCATAGATCCCCCATTGTGCCTCCCCTGTGAGCGCTGGGAGTGCCAGCACCCCACTGCGTCCTCCTAACCCCAACACCCCACTGCGTCCTCCTAACCCCAGCACCCCACTGCGTCCTCCTAACCCCAGCACCCCACTGC